AGGCCTCATTATAAAAAGCATAATTGCCTTATAAATGGTAACCCTGGAAGCATATCTTAGTAGAACATAAAATATATTTAATATTATTGAATATTTTCTAAAATTCTTGTGAAAACTGTAACTTTACTGTAATGAAGCAAAGCATCATGACTGGGGACAAGAAGAAAACTGCTCACTTCACAGAGACCAGAAGACACCAAGAAAGAAAGGAAGAATATATTATAACTTCAACAGCACACCTACATCCATTTCCTAAAATTTCTCCACTGTCCGATAGTACCCTTAGTATGGGAGCAAGTTTTCAAACACACGAGCCTGTAGGAACATTTCAAAAGCACAGTGACATGCTTGGATGGTAATACTGCATTTAAAGTGATTCACAAGATTGAAAAGATGGAGCAGAAGATAAGTGAAGACCAGAATTCAGATCTTTCATAAAAGCTAAGCAAACATGGCAGCCTTCCTGTAATGCTATCACTAAGGAGACAGAAACATGATGTCCTCAGAGCAATCTGGCTAGTTGAATGAGATAACCCATCAGCACCTGGTCCACAAGACCCTGCTCAGCAAATAAAGTGAAGAGTCTCGCGATCAAGATACTTGCTGTCAGTCAACCTCCGGGCTTGACACTTGGCGGCACCCCTACACAAACTTGCACCACATACATGCAAAAATACAGATACACTCTTGCCACATACACATGCAATAATACTTGTTACTATATTATTTATACTACATAATAATATTATATATTTTAAACAATTACACTTGCATGCATATGTGGCATGCAGATGCATCATCATCATCATCATCATTATTATTATTATTATTAATTTCTGGAATCCATCTGACTTAAATGCAAAATTTATAATTGCCAATGGATGACAGATAAATGATAGATAGATAGATAGATAGATAGGTAGGTAGGTAGATAGATAGATAGATAGGTAGATAGATAGATAGATAGATAGGTAGATAGATAGATAGATAGATAGATAGATAGATAGATAGATAGATAGATAGAAGATATATGATAGATATATGATAGATAGATATATATGTAGATAGATGATAGTGTCTCACTTTTCTATTGCTCTAATTAATCACCATAACCAAGGCAACTCAGAATGGAAAACATGTAAATGGGCTCACTGTTTCAGAAGGTTAGAGTCTGTGATGTTATGACAAAAACATGGTGGTAGCACCAGCTGAGAGTTCACATAATGATCCATGAACACTGCTGGGCCTCAGAGGTGCTCCTAACCTGTGGCAAAGTCCCTACACCTGGTGTACCCTTCAGGACTCTAAAGCCAGAACCTCACAGAGAGTGAGATCAAGTTCGTCTGCTGGTTTGGGATGGAGTTTGACTCCCTTAAATGACATTTGTAAAAGTTTTTCTTTGTTGTAGCTTTTTAGGAACAGAAAAAATTTTAGGCCCGTTTCCTTGAAAGCTTCGCAAGATGGGGTCTTGCCCTGAGGCTCCCACACTTCTCTTTATTCCATTTTGCAGAAGGCTTCTCCTTAACCTCATCTTTTTCAGCACCAGCCTCGGCTCCGACATTAATTCTTCTCCTTTTCTCTTCAAAGGGCACATGTTGCGTTTCTCTGTACTACTTGATCATTTCATTGTAGATCTGCATATCAGTGATTACTATTAACCACGTGACAAAGTCAATGTTAAGCTGTCTAGAAATCTCCACCAAAGAAATTAGCTACTTTGAATTTAACCCCAGGCAAACTCTTAGGGCAAGCATGTAGTAACCACATTCTTCAGCCTCTTTCCCAGCAGCTGCTGAAGACCATACTTCTCACTGAAGCCCCTGGAGCTGGGCTTCCTCAGTCCAGATAATGCTCATGGCTGTTATTTAGGTTCCTAATAGGCAGCCCACTAAGCCCTGTTTATACTTCTTCTAGTCTGAAGTAACAAAGTATTTCACAGTCATTCAGAACATTACAAGGTCGTGTCTGTCACAGAAACCCTGTACCAAATTCTGAATTAGCTATTTTTCTATTTCTGTGGTAAAGTACCAAGTCCAAGGCAATTTGTGGAAGAGTTTAATTGAATTTATAGTGTCAGAGGGTTAGAGTCCATGCTGGTGGAGCAGAAGTATGGTGACCTGAACAGCCAAGAGTTCACATATTGATCCACAAGTAGGAGGCCAACAGAGATAACTCAAAATACCAATTGTCTTTTGAAACTTCAAAGCTCACGGTGGATGACAAACATCCTCCACCAAGGCCACACCTCTTTTAATCCTCCACAAACAAACACGAACTGGAGCCCAAGTATTAACAGTTCAGGCTATTGGGGCCATTTTCATTTAAATCACCACAGACAGTCAAACTAATACATAGAGCTGGGCCAAAGACTTTATGAATTATGATCCATTCACCTTCTACCAAGGTCCCTTCCTGACCTTCAGGCAATGATGACAGGTCATCTCATGCCTCCCCACCCTTTCAGTCTTTTTGTTTTGACTAGTATGGATCTACCTTCACCCCGACATGGGCATGCTGTGGGATAAAGCTCTTGTACATCTGCCACTCATTAGTTCTAATTGACCAGTAGCCAGGCAGGAAGCATAGGTGGGGTGACCAGACTAAGAGAATTCTGGGAAGAGGAAAGGCAGAGGGTCAGACACCAGCCAGATGCAGAGGAAGCAAGATGAGAATGCCTTACTGAGAGAAGATACCAAGCCACATGGTTAAACATAGACGAGAATTATGGGTTAATTTAATTTATGAGAGCTAGTTAATAATAAGCCTGAGCTAACAGAACAAACAGTTTATAATTAATATAAACCTCTGTGTGCTTTTTGGGACTGAACAGCTGCAGGAGAGGGCAGGACAGAAACTTCCAACTACATAAGTAAGTTCCCTTTCCCCTAGCAAACTTCTACTTCTACCTGAAAAACGGAACAGTTCACAGTCTTTTCTGATCTTTCAGGGAGAGTTGGCCCTCTCTGACTAAGCCACATGGGCTCCACAAAAGTTACACTTCACTTCCTAATAATGCTAGAGACCAAGATAGCCCTGATTCTGAGCACCATGGTCTATGGCATACAGTGTGCCCCCAAAATACTTTCTGAATGAATTGCTTACCTTTTTGACTCATTCAAAACAAATTCACAAGTATTCCAGGCATAAACATTAATTTAAAAAGTCATAATTGATTGTCAACTAGTAATAGTTTTAACTAATTATTATAGTTTAAAATCTGGTTCTTAAATATTTATGAATATTGTATAAAAACAGTTTTAATTGCTGCAGTAATATATAAGACCACGTCTGTAGTTAAACTCAGGTAATATGGAGTGAACTGGGGAGTTCATAACAGTTTACTAACATAACTTGTCCACATCCAAGCAAACACTAAGTGCCTTTCTTGATTCACTTACCATCTCAGTCACAAAATAACAAGGTACACTTACTATCTGTTTGCATATTATTAAATGAAATTATGGTCAAAGGAAACAAACTCATCGACCACTCACATCTGATGTGAGCATAATAGGAGCAAAATATAAACTGTCCTTTGCCACTGCACATGCAAGAGTCGCTTCTACACAGAGCTGAAAATTTATTGTGTGTTGTGAAACCACATTAACTTTACATTTTTGGTTGTGAGCCTACCCTTTAATGGATGAGCCATTTCTCCAGTCCCCACATTAACTTCATATGTGTTATATATGTTAATAATTTTACACATACATGTTACATATTGTTTATATGTTATATGAATATCTATTGTGTTTATATGTGCCTACATGTTAATATTAACATCTCCAAAGTCCTTAGAGTTCCTTTAAGAAGTTAATTATTTTTAAATAATACTTTAAACTTGCTGCTAATTAAAGCAGAATTTCTTCAAACACAGCCTAAGTTTATGATAAATAAAATTATTCCTGTTTTTCTTTCTCTAAGTATTATGGACACCTCTGTGTATATTTTTTCCCAAAGTGTACATCTAAAATGTAGGTAGAATTTCCCTTTATATAGCCAAGCATTTTTCATTTATAAGTAGCTACTTTTCTACAGTGTTGTGACCTTCTTTTCTAATAAGTGACCCTTTCAATGAAAACTCCTCCCTGACACAAAGAACACTGGCAGCTCAGGGGAACATCACTCGCTGACACTTCCCTGGCCCTTCCCTGTGCTCAGAAGTATTACAGAGGGCTTCTCTTGGGGAAATTATGAATGGTGGATTTCAAGGTTGTGATGGCCTCTCAGGTTTGTTTTCACGTGGTCATTGAGTTTAAGCTGTGAACTAAACAAAACCCGTGGAAAGTTCCACATCACTGGGGAGTTAAACCTCTGGATCTTGCATGCTGAGCTTATATGAGGATGAGACCTTCCCAAAGACCTGTTTTTAAGTTTTTAAGTCTAGAAAAGAAAACGTTGCTTTTAAAATTTTACAGAGCAGGAAAGCAATGGAGAGGGTGGAGAGGGGAAAGGGGAGACGGACCATGAGTGAGATATAGAGACAGGACACAAAATTGTATTTTTTTTTTGAATCGTCAATCTTTGCTTAGTAAAAACACAAGTGGCGGAATTTACTCCTAAATAAGCAGAAAACAAAGAATTGGCGAATATTTTAACGTGAGCAGGAAATACGCAAAGTCTTTTGTTAGCAGACGGCAGAGCTCAGGCCAATGGTCTGAGAAGGCCAAAGGGATTTTAGCTTGGGAAATGCTTGCTCTACCATGTGATATAGGCACTAAAGGACTTCTCAGATCATTTAATATGTGAATGTCTGCTGCAAACCACCTCACCTATTATAACAGGCAGAATTTTCCAGAAAATGTCAATTAATAACACATTTTCTCCCTTTGCAGTCAGAGGGAAACATGGCCACTGGTCAATACACTTGTATAAACACAGCTAGGTCTTGATAAGCCTTATTTTCAAATGCATATCTCCACATGGCTTGGTGGAGAATTCACATTTCTCTCATTTGGGATTTTCTACCGTGACAGTTTCATGGAGAAAGAAGTACCAACCTGAAGGCTTCGAGGTACTCAACATCTCCCATGGGGGGGTCAAGGCCACCTGTCCAGGCAATGTTTATGTTGAAGCCTTCTCCCAGGCCTACTCCAACCTGGGAATAGAAAAACACACCACTGTGGGTGGAGAACGGAGAAGAGGGGAGAAACAAAAGGAGGGGGATACAAGCACATGGGAGCTCTTGAAATAAACATCAAACACAGCGTCAAATCAACCCGGCTCTGCTTGACAGCCAGCTCTCTGGGTTATGCACTTGTTCTGCGCTGGTTCTTGGTCCTGTGGGACAAGCGGGTAATCTGGGGTAATTTAAAACAGCAGCAAAGGACAAGAAAATTAGGGGTAATCACGCAATGCAATTACCTGCGAGATACAAGTAAAAGCAGGGCTCTAAAGAAATAAACCGAACCTCATTCGGGGCTCCACTGCCGGGGAAAAAGTTTCCTTCATCATAGCGATGGAGCGAAATGTACAGGACGCTGGGGTCAGCATAAAAGGCCTGCTGCGTACCGTTGCCATGGTGAACGTCCTAAGGGGAAAGAAACCAGATGACAAACACCGTCACATCAGACTCTGGAGAGGGCTCTTCTCGTTCCTGGTTCCCTCTCTTCCTACCCCACCCTCCCTCTCATTTTCTGTCTTCTCATCGGCTTTCTCTCTCTCCCTTTCAGCCTACTTCTACACAACCCTTTACTTCCTGAACTTTCAGGCAAATTACCCTTTAATGCTCTCATTTTTTTTTTTTAAACTGGCTTCTAAAAATCAGGAAACCACAGCGAGCATGCCCTGGAGACTCCAGATGAGCAGTCAGTGAGAAAGCCCAGTCCTTCGGTCCAATTAGATATTTATACATCGGCACTTTGTACTCTTTGCTTCGGTGATGGAATCCTGCATCCTGTTTTATAGAGGAATTTTATGACTTATTAACTGCCAACAGTTCATAACCCCTCAGGCTTAATTAACTAGCCTCATTGGCCTCTGGGAAAAAAAAAAAAAAAGGACTAATGTTTAAACTCCAAACTAGTCTTTTTCAGGGGGATCTGTGGGTTACAGAGCGTTCTCACAATTCTTGACAGAACAGTAAACCATACGTGTATGCCTTGATTTGCCAAGTCCCACCATTAAGGTCAAAGGCTTTGCAACCAGCTGAATAAATTGGCTTTCTTGAAGCATTCAGTTCAGTTAGCAATCCCTCGGCAGCTAGAGTCACTTCAAAAAAGACGCCAGATGGGAAAAGGACTTCCTACTACATTTTGCTAAAACCATGGAAGCAAGAGTAGAAGAAACAGGAGCGTGAGCTCATTAACTGTTAAATCATTTGGGCCAAAGCAGGAAGATGGCACAGGGATCTATGCAAGACTTTCCAGTCTGTCTCACAGATAATGACTGCATCAAGGACCGCACCTCAGCTTTCTGCCTCATCTGCCTGTCTTTCTCATACTCCCCCAACTTCTCACTCAAAAAATCCTATTATCAATGAACGGATAAATAACTTATTGGACATTGGTAGAGGATAATGATTCAAAATTTGATAGTTCTTCTATTTTTAATATAGATACATGTCACAATTGACATAACTATTGGAAACAATAAAAGGAGTACCATTTAAAATATCTTTATTAAAAAGAATTCAGGTATTAAGGACTTCAGTTAATACACTCAATATTTTCTGAGGAAAAACAAGCAGGCAGATAGTGAATGCTGAACTACACATTTTATGTAGAAAAATATTATTACATTGTTCACTTATACAGTTATAAGCTTTGGTACTTTGTAGCTATTTAAATACAATTGGCTTCATTTTTTATCAGTAAGATTTATACTGTTTTAAACAATGTTTCTTACCATCATTGAGTGAACACAATATTAAACACCTTGAATTAATCACTTAAAAATTATATAAGACATGTGATATTATTTCTATTCTAAAAAATATGACAACTGATGCTCAAAGAATTTCAATAATTTACTATGAATCTACAGGCAGCACATTGTGAAATAGGTTCTTGAATCCACTTATTACTGCAAATGAAAAGCTGGCTATTTATTACTTTTCTGATTCTTTTAGCAAGTTTATGAGGTGAATTTTTTGGAAACTATCCTCCTTGAGATGGACAGAACCTTCTTCTTCTCCAATCTCCAGCCCCCAGTTCCACTAGACATTTCCAAAGCTCCCTTGATGCTGGAAACCTCCACTGCACTTGCTCTCTATGGCATAGGCATACAATAATCCACTCCGTGCTTCCCATATCACACACACCCAAAAGTGATCAGAGAATCATACTGCTCAAGAGGACAGGAATCATCTCAGAAACTTTTCTTGCCAAAGATAAATGCATCAGAAAAAGTATATAACTTGCTGAAAACATACAATTACTGGATTTTTGAATATTCAAAAGATAGGAAAAGATAGTAAAATTAAGTTTTTCTTTTTTATGAGAACAAAAAATGAAACAATTTAAGCTACAATGTATTTTATACTAGCTTGTACTTATCCAGAATATGTTTAAAAAACAAACAAAACCAAAATAACTCCCAAGGAAGCCCCAGCAGAGGGCTATCTCTGCTTCCCCTGCAGTAGCAATAGCCAGGGCTGTAAGGCCAATTTTGTTCTGGGGATAAAAGAGTCCACAGTGAAAAGCAGAGAGAAACACTGCCACAGCACAGCGAAAGAAAGAAAAACACTAGCATTCCTTATTTATAAAAGCACATAAGTCCATGCTAAACGTTGAGCAATGCTCGATTCTGTATTTATTTGCCAAGTACTTAGAGATAAATATGAATCCAAACACTAGGTGTGAGGCAACAAGTTAGAGTGTAGGGTTGAGAGGACCTTCTGCTATTTACTCCATTCAAACTAAAGACTGCTCAGGAACTAGCTAAACCTGCTTCTTCATGGCAACAAATATATATATAGAGAGAGAGAGACTAAGACAAGAGACTTACCTGTGCTTATGAGTAATTACCATAAAGATGGAATGACTCATCACAGCCTTAAAATAAACATTGAATCTAAGATGTATTTAAAATTATGGAAAAATGCCTATCAATATTTTACTGGTTAAAACAGACACTATAAAAACTGATTCTTTATAAGAATTTAGAACCTATGTATTTTATTCTTATTTAGGATGGCTTTGAACAAATCATATATTCTTCCAGCTAATATTATGCTTTATGATTATTTAGTATATGGAGACAAAGTTTTAAATGCTTTGATCAACAATGGAACATCCTAAACTATAAGGACATTTGAAGTAACTGTTTGTTATAAGGGAAAAACAGAACTTAAGAAGAATTGTGATCTAAAATGTTCTTCTATGTTACACATATGATTCAAGGAAGAAAGTCTACTCGACGGACCCGCTGCCTCCTAGAACACAAGGCTGTGCTCTTGAAAGTGTTAAGGCAAATATGCCTACTTCCTTTTCATACTGATTTGCACATCAGAGAGAGAAAAGGCATGAACAGACTTCATAAGTAACTGGAATCCCACCTGCCTAACATGGAAACACCTCTGAAGTAGGCCCCAGCCCACATAGAAGAGAGCTGCAACTCTGGCTTTATATTTACTTGTCTATAAAATGTAGATGAGAGAGCCGCACTATGGAGAAGGGCCCTAGAGCCTATGTGGCCAGCGGATCTGAGGGGATGAACTGTTCTCCCCCTGAAGAATCCTTCCTTTCTCCTCTGTCACTTGCACAGAGACCGATTGGCCAGGGAGAAGGGGTGCTGGTGCCTTAAGATGTCCTTCGCAGTTGCTGGAGGAAACAGGAGTTTCCTCAAAGTGCCCTGCAGCTGCGGAGTTTGGCAGACTGGAAAGTAAGATGTGTGGGCTGCTGGTGACCTCAGAGGCCACCCTTTGGACAGGACTTCATACTCTGAGAGGACCTGAAACAAAAACTTCTCATCTGTGGGAGCCGATTGGGAGAGGAGCATCCTTCACGGATTGGATAACAGAGTAAAATCACAATAAATGCCAGCCACGTAGAGGAAATTGACTCCTAAGAGCTACCATGTCAATCAATATAGAAATCGAGACATTCTCTCTATAGTCAGACCCATACGTCTCTCAAGAAATACCTACACAGTTAGACTAGCTGGTCACTCTTAAGAAGAACAAGGCTAACCACTGACCTTGTCCAACCCTCTTGTTCATGGATCTCAAATTGCCATCTTTTCCTTTTACACTCATCCTTACAAAACTCCAGGAGAAATGAGTTTTAGATTAATGTGCATGCAAACTCTGAATTACGTCAAGCATCATTTTGAATGTATTTGAAAAAATAGATATTTACATAAAGCTACAAGAGTTCTGCAATGTAATAGCTCTTGCCTTCAACACAGCCTGTTCAGTAGTGAACTGTGACCTACTTTGAAACTTAAGTGTGTTTGGAAAACACATAGAAAATTAGAATTCAATATTTTTCATATGAAAATGCCTGCAGAGAGGCCACAAGATGAAAAATACCTATTTTAACCAAGCCATAGAAGTGGTTGTCAATCTTCCCTTTTTTTAAAAAAAAAATTCTTTATTTTCATTTAAATATTACTTTACACGGCTTTGTTAGTGGTCTCTCCACCCTTTGGGGGTACCCGCTTAACAAAATCTAAGGGCTGAAGGTTGATGTCATGACTTCCAATAAGATTTAATTATGAGTGCAGATATGAGCAAGATTTAAACTATTAAGGCTTGCACTTCAAAAAAAACCTCTAGCATTTTTTTGCCTTTAAATCTTTTATCACCTGTAAAAATTAATTAAGTGCAGATGCAGCAGGTTTGGCTTGGATGCCAGGGTTCATTTCCTGTCTATGCTTTGTCAGACAAACCATTACACCTCCTGGGGAAGTGCAGGCAAACTGAAAAGCGGGCTCATAAATCACCATTGCCTTTCCCTCGCCCTTTCCTGGGTTGGTCCTTTCTGTATGGGGCAGATCTCCAGCTCATTATTCATGAATACATTTTAGACAACCTGCCAAGTGTCATCTGCATTTAAACAAACCATTTGTTGAACAAATTATAACTATTGTGTAAGAATGCTCCATGATAAAATGCAGGATGCATCCATGGCTTCTGACTTTTAATCACCCAGGGTTCTTGCAGGGAGTCATCCCAAACTGGCATCTGAGACCTGAGATCTTCTCACAAAGAATGACATGTTGACTTGCTTTAATAATACCAGTGTTGCACAACAAGGGACATGATTGCTAACTGGGGGAAGCGGCCAATTGGTTACCAAAGCAACAGCATTCCTTCCAGCACATCTGACTAGTTAAAGTCTATATTCTGTAGGGAAAAGTAAATTGAGGTTCTGTTGGGTTATTTTAACTGTGGAAGTATCAATTCATTTAAGGATCATAAAAGTTGCCCTGATCTGCACCGTCTTCTCATTAAATTGCAGTTAACACCATGAAAGTGAAACGTGAATGTTTATGGTTTCAGAACTGCAGTCCTGAGTTTAAGGCGTTTCCACGTGCAAAGGAAACATGCCCATCAGAGGTTTGCAGTGCCAAGAGCAAGGCAGCCTTGCAGAGAAGTGGACATCCACTTCCGTTTACCTGGGGCCACAGAAAATGCTGCCCTGGTTAGGCATACATACCAGATCCACAATCAATATCTTGTTCATATTGAGTTGGTCTCTCAAGTATTTGGCGGTAATTGCAACGGAGTTAAAAAAGCAGAACCCCCTGCGGAATAAAGAAGAACAGAGAAGTAAGAAGGAAAATCATCCAGGAAAACCATTATAAATAATGTTCAGAGCATTTTTTTTAAAGATGCTATATGATCTCTGAAGTCATAAATCTGCTTCTGGGAGTACCTCACGAGAGTTTTCAGCCCATCTGTTAGCAATTAGAGGCTTCAGAAACGTGCATAGGGCAGGTGACTGCCAGGAACCATGGCACTTGAAGATGGCAGTGGGCCCTGGTACTTACATGGCAGCAGACTCTTCAGCATGATGGCCTGGGGGCCTCACAACAGCAAACCCGTTCTGGAAGCACAAGACAGGGTTTTCAGGAGCAGGGGTAGTGATACTGATCAGATCTCTGCAGCTAAGCATCACAGACACACAAGAAGAAGCCTGACGTCTCTCAGACACACCCAAGCATATCTCCTTGTCCTTATCACCACGTCACAGCATCAAGGGAGACACTTGGGTCACTTTTGCTCAGATCCTGTCTCAAACAGGCCCACGCTGATCCAGTAGAACAGAGCGCTGAGAGTTGTTCATAGCAGTCAGGCAATCATCTCAGCTGTTAAACTCACACAACTCATTTGCAAGAATAACCTTTAAATTTCTAACATCAACATCCTAGAGAGACAGAAATTCACTCTTGGTGCAGGTTTGGGTCAAAGTTCAGAAAGACGGGAAGATGCAAAGTGAAAATTCCTGACCTGGGTCCCTTCAATGGTTCTTTCCACCCTGGTGTCAGCAACATGATAAATTTACACTTGCACACATACATAGACACAAAAGAAACCCCAGAAAGGTGAAAAGGAGAACAATGGAAACCCCATATTTCTTCCAGTCTATAAACTGAGCTTGGATGACTGCCAAGACATGTGAGTTTATTGGATTCTCTAAGTCAATTTCTAGCCCAAGTTCTGGAATTTTATAAAGAATTCCAGAGCTGAGCAGCAGTCAGATATAGCCATGATCAAGAAATGCCTTAACCTCCAGGTTAGTGGAAATGCATCAGAGAAAGCTGACGAGACTCAGCATGAAGGCAAGGAGCCATAAATCCCCAGAAAGCCGCGCTTACAAACGATGGCTTGTCTGATGTGAAAAACTAATCGTTTATCACACGGCTCACACCACTTTTCACTTCACTATGATTCAAGGAGCATGCTCCAAAAAGAGTATTTACTTAACCACAATCCATAACTTCTGAGATAATTCTAATAAACCTCAGGAATTTTCCTTCTAAATCTTTACCTGAAATCATAAAGACTCCAAGAGTCATCCTACTTGACCCTCATGTACACGATCACTCTTTGTTATAGTTTACAGTCGTTGGGTAAATTGACTTTATATTATGTTGAGTGAATATAGTAACGATTTTCGAGACAAATTAGAAGTGGCAATACTATCATCTTGTGATTGGAAACGTCAACCTTAGGACAAATTTATTATGAACTGGGACAATCACAGGGCAGCTTTTTCATGAGGGCTCTTCCCTCATGTGCAGACTCATGCTGTAACTGAGGGTGTGACTAGAGATGAACAGAACGGGCTGCTGACGGAAGGGATCAGGTAGACTGATTTTCCCTCTCTGTCTTCGATGTGGAATTTCCTTCTGTATGCTGTGATTAGCACTAATGAATAAAGAAACTGCTTTGGACCTATAGCAGGGTAGAACTTAGGTAGACAGGGAAAATTAAACTGAATGCTGGGAGGAAGAAGGGTGGAATCAGAGAGAAGCCATGTAGCCCTGCCTGAGACAGATGCCAAAACTTTAGCAAGTAAGCCAAAGCCACATGTCAATACACAGATTAAGAGAAAATGGGTTAAATTAATATGTAAGAGTTAGCTAATAAGAAGCTAGAGCTAATAGGCCAAACAGTTATTTAATTAATACAGTTTCTGTGTAATTATTTCAGGACTAAGCAGCCGGGAAATAACAAGCGGCCCCTGCCTCCTCCTCCATCTCTTGCCTTTTCCTTCTGTTGTGACCAAGAATTGCAACTTGACCATATGCTGGCCTTGCCTCCGGACGTCATAGTTGTCTAGCCTTGTATTGTCTGCATGTGAGTCTGTGGTATGTTTTTATAGCAGCAGAAAATGGATGAAGAAGCTGAATCACAGCTCACTAACTACATGCTAGAGATGATGATAAACATGTCTCCCACCGTTTTCCTGAAATCATTTATGCATTCTCCAGACTTTATTGTAGAGAAAGAAATTATTGATGAATGAAACAAAGTAACAGACACTGGAATTTTAAGGTTAGTGGGGAAATCTGCAAAGATTGCAAGAGACTCAATAAAAGCCACTGAATGAAAGAAATGAATATAAGACTTGGTAAACACACCCCATGCGCAAAGCCTTGCGCAAACGCTGCCGAGATGGCCTCCTTGCCTCGTAGAGTCCGACTTCCAAACAAGGTCGACCTTTTGTTTTACGATTTTCTGAGTAGCTACCAGTATTCTGTTTTCGGTTCAATTAAACTGGTTTATGAATGAAGGCCATGTTTATGTAGCACAAAGAAAAAACAACCAATCACCAATATGTACTGAACATTATGACTAATCAAATAAAAGACAAGGAACCCCCAATGAGAAGCCATATTCTGTCATTCCCCTCACATGCTGTGAGGGAGTTTCACACTCATATGATGCTTGCAGGAGAGAGACATAAACTCTCTGTATCTAGACAGAACTTTTGGAAAGCATCGGCACTCTTTGAAGTATTAAAGAGTGCTTTCCCTAACACAACTTTATCAACTGTGTCTACAAGCTTCTATGTGAAAGGTTATATTTAATTTATAACGATAGAAACTGCTAATTATCTAAATAATCAGCTAATACTATGAAAGTGGTAAATAAATCATGACCCAATTAGCTACGTAGTATTAATATTAGCTACCTACCGACTCAATAGATTTACTTGGATATTTCAAGGGCACTTCAAGCCATTTCTTTGGAAAACAATCTACAAATCTCCTCATCTCCTCAACATTGCCATGACACCAGAATCCGTCCCTCCATCAGCTCAAGTCAGAGGCTGATGAATTCCCTCTCCTGACTCCTTCTCCATCCTTCTTCCATTTATTTTAGTTCACAACCTGATGATATCATTTTGAAAAATTACTCAAACTTATTCTCTGATTCTTGCGTCCAGTCCTCTTGCTTTGCTGGGTTATGTCGCAGGACCAGGTTCTCTTATTCTTGCATCCAGTCCTCTTGCCTTGCTGGGTTATGTCGCAGGACCATGCCCACGGGGAGCAAGCACTCTGTCAGGAAGCCACACACTCAGCCCTTCCTTGAGGTTTCTGGTTTTGTAGGAGTTGTTATCTTGCAGTATCCATATAGTCTTCTGACTCTTGATTTCTCCACTTTCTGATGCTTGCCATTAATAAATTAGTATCCTGCTTAGTCTCTTCTTTTTAGGCTGCCCTCAGGGACAGCATCACCTTCAGGATTCTATGACAAGCCAGCATCTACTCGCCCAGGACCTTCTCTTCCCAGACAAACACTGAACAGACACCCCACTTCTAGTTCACCAACCATATTTAATTTCGCAGCTCAGCACTCATCAGGCACCGTGTTCAGCTTCCTCTCATCCTGCTTGGCCTCTCAGGCCATCGTTACGTATGCACACGGACGGCCACCTTGTCCTTTCCTCATATGGTCACTCGTGCTGACTGAGCTCTGGCAGGACTTTGTCTGGGCAGGGCACTCATTGCCTAAGGACTTCTCACTACAGTCTCCATGCAGCCTTTCCTGGGGACTCACAGTACACAACTCTGGTGTCCTTTTTATTCATTGAAGGGCACTAGCACTACTGGGTTAAGACCCTAAGAACCTCGTATACTCTTTATTACTGACTTAAAGCCTTATTCCAGTGACTGGGAGCTAAATTCCCAATACGCCATCTCTGAAGAGGCACAAACATTCAGACCGTTACACATTTTCAATCATGTCGCCCTTTCCCTTCTTAGGGATTCAGGCAAAATTACAAGTCTGATAAGATACAACTCACACCTGCTCCATCCCTGCATCTATTGAAGCACACATAAAAGCCAGATGTCTGGTTGTCCTTTACAGTTAGGATCTTAAACTCCAAGTACATTCCTCAGGATGGCTGGAAGCCACACTGCATTCCTCCATCAATGAACCAACTGTCCCTGACTTTCACATGAGTCATCCGGGCTTCTCCTTTTCCTTCAAAGTTTCAACAACCCTTCGCTAACTCCTTAACTTCTGCTTCTGCTGAAAAGTTATTTCATTAAAAAAAAAAGCAAGTAGAATAACATATCTACATACTTCAAGTGAAAATATACTGACCCACTCCCAGTAGTCCTTGCTGCTGACCTGTCTGCCCTTTCTCCTCCCACATCATTCTAGGCACAGCTAACTATGGCTCTCCTCCCTCTCTCTGTCACATCCGTTTCTCTTCTACTGCAGTATTGCAATCAGAGCAAATGTTTAACTTTCTCGTCTTAAAGAAAAGAAAGAGAAACTTAATGGCCAATGTGATGCGATCGGGAGATGGGACTTTAAAGAGGGAGCTCATCTTTAGGGCTTCTCCCTTTTAAAGGGATTAAAGTCCTGTTTCAAGGGGATTCTTGCAGCCTGTGGTTTATTTGCTCTTCCTTCCAGCATCTTGGAAGCAGAAGACAGCTCAGCTCGGGGATCACAGCAAGCATCACCTCGGCTTGGGATTCAAGGATGTCAGGCTGGGAGGCTAACCCGCTCTTTCTGAGCTATGCAGCTGGTGGAATTTTGCTTTGACGAAAACAGAGCAAGACATTCTCACAGTCGCGCCAGGCACTATTTCTGAGCACCATCTTATGTGGGGGAAGACTGGATGTACTTCCTTTGATTGGTTTTGATTATCGTGACTTGGATGTACCATGTCCATACTCACCAAGGCACCTACTTTCTGCCTGTCACTTTGTTCCCTAGTCTGATATGACTTTGGGCACATAACAAGACGCCAGTAAATAAATGAGCTCTTTCTGGCTCCGTCGTACAGCAGGTGCCTACTTTGCTCCTTCATTCTGGCCTTGGCGTCAAGTTCTTTATTCTCACAGGTGTTTGTACTCTTTCTTTTTGTAGGTCACCATTAGACTTGTTATGGGAAGTCACCCATTAAGTTGGAGGTCACCTCTTAGGCTAGATTTCCTCAGAAACACATGAAATATTTTATGTCTTATAATAATAAATAAAATCTTTGTGTTCCATTTTCGATGTGAAGTGTATCTCACAGGCACTTGTGTGAATATTTGGGCCCCATCTGGTGGCTCTGTTTTAGGATGCAGTAGAAAC